AAATTATTCAGGGTTTAGGTTTGCTTTAAGAAAAAAAAAGTTATAAATACTACATGATGTCTAGTTGCTTTGATCTTAGAATGCAAAACAAGGTAATGATTCTACGACAGTAATATCTTATTCGATTGCTACAATGAAGCCTCATTTTCGACACCCTTTTTTACTGTTCTACTGGCCAAATCATTGTCCCAAATGCTGCCCTGAGGTATACGCTGCTCCAGCAGAACTACTATAAAGACGCAGTCAAGTTGGATCCAACTTTACTTTCTCAAAAGTTTCCATTGCTTCTAATGATAAAGGGATTCTCAGATGAAAAGCACTTCTGAGGTCACCTCCTGCTCTTTACTCAGAGAAACTTAAAACATTAACAATAGCCCTACCAATACTGCGACTGAAGTAGCATTTTCAGCTGCAATCCAATCCACACAAAGTATCTAACAATCTCAATCCTTAATATAAATATTTTTTGAATTTTATAACTCCAATAATATTTTTTATGACAAATCAGAATAAACTCTGAGAAAGCTATGCTTTAAGAAGTTTTTAAATTGCACATTCAATAAATTTAATTCTACTTCCAGCCTCAGGCACGTGAAGGTGAATACATCTATAGTCTCTGTGTTTTACTATATCCTTCTACTCTAGCTTTTAAAAGGGTGATTGCTCCTCAAAAAGGTTTTTTCAGAAGCAGCTCTTCAGTTTAAGATATGATTTGAAAATGCTGTATTTGGCACGAGACTACCTTATGCCTCATAAAAGACCTAAAAACACAAAGGAACTCACGTGCAGAGTATGACCACAGCTTGAGGGAAGAGGTTCTGATACTGCAGACAACATTGTAAAACACGATCGTCGTTGTTCTCGTCACTCAGGCCATCTGCAAATTTAGTTAAGACAGTGCTGATGTGTTCAGAAGTAACTCAACGTAAGAAATACTTCAGTGTAGTCATGGCACTGGTTTTAAGTTTAATACTCCCCAAACAAGGACAGAGAAGTGTAACCTAAGCAGAAATCTCAGCTTTGAATTCTTAAGTACTGCTCCACTCAAAACCGCTATGGTTTTGCCAGAAAATGTTAAGTGAGTCACACCTAAATTTACGTTAGATTTTTTTGATGACTGAGTCAAAAGCAAAAGCACACTACATCCTTAGCTCGTAAGTAGTACCTAGATGAATTTCATTAAGTAATCCCCACTTACCAACGGATGCAGCTAAAAGTGAGAAACAACTGATAAAACAATAGTGAACAAAGCGCTAATCTGAATAAGACATTTGCATACTACAGACTTGCGTATGCTCTGAAGGCTGCTGTAAGCTATTACCTAATTTTAACTAGCAAACTGCAGAGCGAAGACTGTATTAAACTTAAAATTTAGTACTAATGTTCACACTAGGTAAACTGCAAGGATTAAGTAGCCAAAAGAAATTGAACATGCATGTATTACATATTTTTTGTGAAGCAAGCTGCATGGATTGCCCCCACAATTTTGAATCTTGGTTTTTGAGACACATGTAGATGAACTGGACTGCAGGGATAGCTTTGTCCCGAACATGCTGCAACATTTTCCCCTTCTTCAAGTTGTCCAATTCTTGTAGAACGACCCAAGGAATTATTAATGCAAGTCTGCCAACCCCTGGAAAAAAAAACAAAAAACCCCCAGAAAGACATTTTGAAAAGCCACACAGGCTACTACACTTAACCTTTAATTCAAGTATCATATTTATGTAAGCTCACACTCATGGTTTTTTGCCAGTAGTTTTCATACTCCATGCTCAAGAGCATCAAGCATTAGAAAAATGAACAACTAAAAAAGGCCAAGTTCCTTCTTTCAAAAAAATCTAACCTCAAACTCGGCACTACATTGGTTACATATAAAAATGACAATATTAAGCAAACAAAAGGAATAAACAATTTCAATCAACAGAATACTTTGACAACAGTGCTTAGCAATGTTGTAAAATACATTTGCAGCAATTAACATCCTATCATACGCTCCCTGTAAGATGTTAAGGCAAAGTGACAGCAGCTGAAAGAACAGGCTGAAAATACCCGAATGACACAACAGTCGCTGTGCAAAAACAGTCATCAAATAAAAGGAGCAATGGTTTGTCCTAATTGCCAACCACCACTCCTAAGCAAGGAACAGGAAGTATGGATATTGGACCATGGTTTTATTTGTATCTAAGTATGGTTTGAACCTTAGTCATTACATATGAAATACATGGTAAATCAGAAGTTTAATGACTGTTCTGTACAGTCAGTTTTGAAAAAAATACACTGCTATCCATCTGCTTTGTAATAAACAGGTCAGGAATCAGCAACTTCTGAACCTTTTGGATAATGGGTTTGGTGCAGGACCAGAAATTGGGAGCTGCAATACTCTAAAAAAGAGAGGCATCTGAGACCACAGCTCCCAGTATGTGCAATGCAACCTCATTCCTAATATGGGAAAGAAAAGCCTGACACACTCTTGAAAATTCCTCAGGACCTTATTAAAGTTATTTTCCAGGTAGCCAGAATAAGCGTATTCACCAGCTGAAAGCAGCAAAGGACCCCAAGTATTCTCATAGATTCCAAATACGTCAACTGATACGCACGATCCTAATCCCGCTAACATTAAATCACTAAAAGCTTCACAGCGTTTTAAGGCCAAACATTAAAGCCAAGGTCTGCAATCTGAATTCCTGAGAAATTGCTCACACCACTCGTTAATTCTGTGACCTTTACAAGACCAAAAAAAAAAACCACCACTGACTGCTTATCAGTTTTTAAATGTTTTTAGACTTCTAGGAAAAAAAAAGCTACAAAGCATAGAAAACATTGTTACCACTAGAAATGGATTAAATGCTTGAAAGTATGTACTAACAATAGGTAATACTTGTTTACCTCTAAGAATTCACACACATTCCTGGGAACACTGACCATGATTAGGTACACAGGTATAAGCATAGTAGGTTCTACTTTCACAGCTAAATTTCCCTCAACAGGCAGATTATTTGGGTTCACAGAACCAGCCTCTTAACTGCGAGCCTTCTGCCTCTACATGAAACCTGCTGCCTTTTTAAGGAGCCCAGGTTTGTTTTCTTCACATAGCCTGAAGTTCTTACAACTTTTTTTTTGTTAAGTACCTTATCGATCACCACGCATTCACATACCTGGTATATCCTCAGATTTCAGGGATCTGACAAACTCAAGGTGACTAATCATTATATTTGTGTCAATCACCACTAATATGTTCAAACCAGAAGTAAAAGCCTCTGGGGGAAAAAAAGAAGGAAAAAATACAGTTGTGAAAAAAAACAGTTGTATATTCTCTACTCAGACCATTAACCAACAGTAATAACTGCAAGTAGATACCAAAGAACAGCCAATCATGACATACCAGCAGAAATATTTAAATCCTGTTCTGGGAGATCTATTTCCATACTCGTAAGTTCTCCGCAAGTCTGTACGACAGATAGCGCCACCGTCTTCTGAACACGAGCAACATGCAAATCTTCAACTATCTGCATCTACAATGAAAAAAATTTGCATCTATGAAATTGACAGTAAGCAAGCACTTATGAATTGTTCTCACAAAAGATACTTCTGCATTAATGCCGTTGTGTTAAAACTGACTAAAAACTAAGCATGAAAAATTGTAAGTTGGTACAGCAAGTGTAAAGCCATGAGAACTTTCTGCACACCTGCCACTATAAGAAGTCCACGAAAGACATCCAAAATACGGCCTAGAAGGAAGATTTGTTTATGACCTTTCTACCTAGTACGCAAAAACTTTGTTCCATTTTTTGCTACATAGACTGCAAGCTTCCTGACAAATGTTTCTTAAAAAAATATGCATCTCTTCCAATTTGGAAGTTAGAGGATGGAAAATGAGATAGCTGGATATGTAAGCAACTATGAAGGTCTCCTACATTGCAATGGCAATCTTTCTATCTCAGAAAGTTCCCGATTAGCAGTACTTTAGCAAGTTTGTTTAGTATTTGAAAAAATGCTCCACATTTTTTGAAGTGTAGATCATAAGCCAACAATGCAAAATACCAGGAAAGGTCATGGAACTGTCCAGCTATGCAACCCTGGTGCCCTAAGTTTTTAATACAACTCAGAAGGGTAAAATCAAAGCATTACTAACCTCTTGGTCTGTTTCTTGGTTCTGGCTGTCCTGAACGGGTGGAAAGACTTCAAAGCTCTGTAGGAAGAATTAAAAAAACCCATACCAACACAACAAAATGTCAAGGCAGACTGAGGAACAAGTGATCCCCATGTCAAGAGTTTTGGAATATAGCTCTTTAGTGTTAAAGGAGTACACCACTAACCTTCTGGATAGACTTTATGTCCTGACCGTCTCGGTAGGTGTCAGATGTGCACGGGACCTCAAAATTCTAGAAACAATTAGGAATGGAAGTAGAACAGTATCAGTCTTTTAGAGAACACTGAATATTCCCAAGTGAAATGAACAGGTAACATAAAATATATTTTCAATATCCATGATGAAGCATCCTCAGTAGCATTTCAAAACAGCTTAGAAGGATGGCTTTCTTTTAAAATAAATACAGCGGTTTACACAGCAAGCCTATATTTCCAATCTCTTGTGGGTTTGTGACTATGTTATTCTTGCTCTGAGCTTCCCAGTACAGGACAGACATGAATTTAACAAAGTGCATCAAGCAAAAGGTCACTAAGATGATTAAAGGACTAGAGCACATCATACAAGAGGCTGAAAGAGCGGGGACTGTTTGGCCTGGAGAAGAGAAGGGGGAGTCTTATCAATGCTTATAAATATCTGACAGGAGGCTGAAAAGATGGAACCAGACTCAGTGGTGCCCGGTGACAGGACAAGAGGCAAATAAACACAGGAAATTCCCTCTGAACTTAAAAAAGCCCCACTTTTTTTTACAGTGAAGGTGTTTGAACAGGCTGCCCAGAGAGGTCCATCCTTAGAGACATTCAAAACCTGACTGGAGACAGACCTGGACAACCTGCTGTAAGCCAACTCTGCTTGAGCAAGGGGGTTGGACTAGACCATCTCCAGAGGTGCCTTCCAACCTCAACGATTCTGTGATTCTGTATGTAATTACTATCTTTGGTTTGTGTATGCACAAAATGATTGCACTACTATAACATGAACTGAAGTCTCAAAAAACTAATGCTACACATGTTAAACAAGAACGACAACAATAAAAAAGTAACTGCACTCAAGATAAAGTTGAGGTGCAGAACCAAACGCAAGCTAGAACTTAGGAACAAACTGAATACAGCCAAATGTGAATCTATGCAAGAAAACTACAAATTTAGTCCTAGATCTACAAGTTCTCCTGGCATCACTTTACTAGCAATGAGTACCTGTTTGGCAGAGGAATTTTCATTGGTTCAGTTTATTCATTCAAAAATTATACTATCACATCAGCTCAAAACCCCCTCTGTTGACTTGTACCTAAATTGAAGTATTCCACACCCCCAGCAGCAAAGTAAAGCTATGAAGGAATACATGTAGACACAATCCAGGAAGGCAAGACCTTTATCCTTCTAGCTTGTTTCACCACTTAGCAGAGAAACATTTTAATATGGTTTTCATTGGGATCAGAAAAATCCATCTAGATAGCTAAGAAATCCTGTTTGAAGTCTGTAAGACAACAGTCTGCTTCTATAAAAACTGCCTGCCATTCAGAAACTAGTCTGAAACATCTACCAGCATAATACAAAGAATTGGATTCTCATTACCTGCTTAAAACATACTGCTGTAGCGGAGTCCCTTTCTTCAGTCCCTTTATCAGAATCACTATCATGGTTTTTCCGTTTGTAAGAGTCCCATCGTTGTGGTGTTTCAGTTGAATAGTGTGATGGTGTATGTTTACTCACATGTCGGTTTTTCTTAGAAAGCTCCTTATATTCTTCTTCGTCCTCTTCTTCCCAAGTCCTAGATGATGTATTTGGCTTCTTAGTGAAGGGCCTATCATCATGCACAGTCCCTGTAGAGGTATCAGATGGCTTTTTCGGAATTCTGACATCTTCACTCTGTTTTTTTGATCCATCTCCCTTTTTATGTGGTACATGTGAATCATAGGCAGATGACTTAAATTTTTCCAACATAGTTTGTTCTGCTTTTAACTTTAGTTTGCAGAGTTCAACTTTCTCTGTCTTCTTCTTCAGTGCCTTGTCCCTCTGAACTGCAAAGCTATGCCAGAACCTTCTTCCTTCTGTTCCATCAAAACAACTTTTGTTATAACTTTCCCTGCTAGTAGTCACTACATCAGGAGTGCGCGTACTTTTTCCATGTTTAATTTCTTTGGCTTTAAATTGAATAACTATTTTCTTTTGCTTTTCAGTGTGGATTAAAGAATTGTCTGTGGTTTTACTTCTATTTGGAGATTTTCCTTGGGATCTTCCATCAGCGCCATGAGAAATATTAGAACTTCGGTCTTGCTTCTTCTCCTCTTGTCCATCTTTCTCTATTTTGAATCTATGGAAACATTACAAAAAAAGTCATGCAATTAGCTCAAGCCACAACACCACCTGCACTTGCTTTAGGCAGTTACAGCTAAGTATTTATGACTACCAGTTTGGTATGTTCTTAAATACGAATTTGCAGCAACATCTGTCCTTTAAAACAGTTTGATACAGCATTTTTAGTACTAAACATTTTTCCTAGCTGTGTGGCTATTTTAGGTTACAAAATAGAGGAAAAGCTTTCTCCACATTCACTATCTATTGCTTTGAGAGATGCCCTACAAGGTCTAGTTTCATCTTACCACACACGTAAGTTTTAACAGCCCTTTAACAATATATTAGGTGTGTCACCCTAAAACTCAAGTGTGCACCAGTTCAGCTTGGTTGCACGGCACCAAACACTGCACAGCCTTCAAACAGAGCAGGATAAACAGGCTGGAGAATTTGGAAAAGGAACGATTGTTATGATAGTAACATTCTACAGAAATCATGAATGATACGAAAACTGAATAGGAAACTTTCTTATAAAAGCAGACAAAACAATAAATTTATCATACACTAGGTTTAAAATATCCAAAGAAAGTTTCTACTCTAATCTAGAATAGCGTTTTCAAAAACGCTGGGGAGGTAAAGGCCATTTGACAAACTCAGGTAGGACAGGTAAGTTAAATGCACTGATTGCCATCCAACTTGCAATTTAGGAGCCCCCTAACTGGTTCTTAGAAGCTGGAAGGGTGTACAACAGGAAAAACCATTTTGTACTTGTCTTGTTTCACATATTCCTTCCTACGCAAGCCCTCCTTGGCCACTGTCAGGGATGGGGTACTGGACTGGGCAGAGATTTAGCATGAACAGTTACTGTTTTATGGTTATTTCATTCTGTACTAACAAACAGCGCTTAACAGCATGTATACATGCAGCTAAATATCCTATGACTTACAACTCCAGCCTAACAGAGAAACTGCAACAAGATTTTTCCCATGATTAAGAAACAAATCAAAGCTTTTCCATCTCAGGATTCATGAGAATGTTCTCACTTTATACAAAGCAGTTTTCAAACACTGTTTACATTTGCTACACTCAAGGTGAAATATTGCTTTCTTTGCCTTGGAATCAATCACTTCAAACATCAGGAGAATCAATGATTTCAGTACTCCAGGAATCCATTAAAGGCACTAAGGTCACTGCAAAACTATCCTCCAGACTTCACTGGAGCCTTTTTTTGGCTAACAAAACGTGTAACATGCAACACAGACCAACAAGGTAGTGCTCAAGACAAAAAAAAAAATTATCTTTTTATGATAGGAAGGGTATAATTTCTACCTTATTTGATGTGTAGTAGCATACATTAGAGTTTAAAAAAAAATAATTCTGAACTCTGTCTTCTCAACTATCTCAAACTGACCAGCTTAGAATCCACTCATTAATGCAATGCCAACACTTCATCAATTAAAATATCACATTTTATTTAGTGAACAAGATAAACAAAATTCTTAAATTCAGTATTAAAAAAAGTGACTGGTTTATTTTTAAGTAGTTCGATTTAGTGACAGAGCAAGAATCTACCTTTGAAATTCTGTCTCTCTTTTCATACTATGGTTATAAGATCTTGTGTCTTCCGAGGTCTGAAAGAAGCAAAAAAATCCAAGGGCTTATAGAAGAAACCGCAGTTTAAATAACCTTCATAAGATGGAACAAGCTATTATTTCATACTAGATTCACTATGATTTTGAATAAGTTAACCTTGAAAAAGGCAGCCACATACCTTACTATAATTTAGTATTTAGATTTTGCTGTATCTAAGAACACAAGGAGAAAAACTGAATATGGCACACAGTCCTGGGCTACAAATAAAGCTCAGTTAAAGACATTTAGGATTCACGTGTTTCATATAATCAACAAGTATACAAAAGTCTATTTTACATACTGGTATATTTATAAAAATTCTTAAGAAAAAGAAAGTTACCTGAAGACTGCTTCCAGTTACCCCCTAGGTAAGGCCAAAAAGAGGCTATTTCCATGGGAGGTTTTTGTGCAGAAGAGATGTGTTATTAATTCTCATCAGATTTACTAATTAGGCGGAACAGCGTGAAACCACTGTTACATAGGTCTGGTTAAGAGTAAAGACAGTCCCCAAACAAAGAACTTGAACAGTCCTCATTTAGAAAGCAGTTATATCACTGCTTGGCACATCGACATCGCAAGCTGTGTCGCATCTGTGTTGGGGAATAACTGGAAGGCGACTTTGAGCGGGTCAGAACAGAAAGCAGTTTATTATTGCAGCTAGGGGAGAGAACAGAGAGCAGCAAAATGACAGACTCTGCCCAACGAGGCAGTTAAATTTTATATACTTTTGGGTTATATGACTCAGTTTTCCCAAAACTACAGCGGGGCGTAGGAAATTACAACAGAGAACAAAGTAACATATGGATTACTTCAGATAAGGAAGCTCTAGATAGTACATTCCTTTACAAATAATTTGCTCCAATAATTGGGTCTTGCTGACTCAGTGAGGCCATGAGGTCACTGGTGCAGAGATTGTCCTAACTAGAGAGGCCTGCAAAGGCCCTGAGGCCTTAGCTATTTTACTTCCATATTAGAAAGCACTTCATTAAAAAGTAGAAGGGTTGCAGAAACCAGTGGAGTCCTGATGAATTAAGGAAATCTTGAGAACAACTGGCTGTGGTTGGTTCTGAAGTTCTAACAGCAGCAAACCCAATGAAATCGTAACTTACAGGGCTGTTAAAGGCTGCTGCCGCTGAGAATCATATCGGTGATTGCTGCAGGAAGACCTGTTCAACTCATGTGATTATAATCAAATAGGGATCAAAGTGTTTTATTGGTTTATTAACAACTCAACCAGCAATAGGTGAACTACACACTCAGGATCAATACCAGCAATGCAACAGAAAAGGAGTAATAACAGGTATAATAACAGACAAATACAAAATGGTCCCAGATCAGATGATTAGGCACCACAAAGTTCTAACCTCACACACCTCCATGATACACTTTGGCACACACGCTCATGTTGTTGAAGACATGGGTGCTCCGGTCATGCATGGAGCCACACCAGTTCCTACAAGCTGCTAATGCACACCCTGGTGAGAAAGGGCCCCCACGAGGTCATGTACACACCCCCAAGGTGTGGGACACTACGGAATGCCTCCCTGTCCTGTCACTCCACCAGCTGGAACACAGGGTACTGGCAGTGATGGTGCTCCATTGGGGCAGGAAGAGGTCATGATGCTGGTGGGACAACCTCAGACAGCATCAAACCCAGTCTGACTGCTGCTCTGTTACTGCTTTCTCTCTTCAAGGCCTATTCCCCTAGAACCACAAGTTTTCATGGTATTTTTAGTATTTCTTCTCAACCTAGCTCATTCTTTTCTCAAAAGTCTCTTGATAATGTCCTGATTTTCACCTAGTTTGGTCATCTTAAACTTTCTTACTGTTACTTTCCTCTGAGCACTATCAGTTTGGGGTAAATGTCCTGTTGGAAGAGACTGCCTTAGGTGTTCCCTGTTTACAATCCCATGGCTATCATATCACCTGCTGTTATCCAGGCTGTGTTACCAAGAGGCCGCGGTGCTGACTCCTCCAGACAGCTCTGTGTAAAGCTGCTCTAATTTATATAGTGACAAATGTCCTTTCACTCACACTTAGGGAATCACATGCCAAACTGCTAAAAACCAACAGGCACAAAGTTTTCTGTAATCTGTGGTCCTGCTTACACCACACAAAAAACCCCAAAGCCCCCACACAACCATGCCTAAATACGATTCTACTTAAATGGCTTACTCTTACCTGCATGATCTGAGGATACCTCTTATCCATACTGTGATCACACTGAAGAAATACTTGCTACTAGTCAGAGGTTTCCTTATCTTTTTGCTACTAATAGTTTGGGTTCTCACTGTCGCTCGCGCTGGTCAATGTCTGCATATAGCAATATTTAATGCTGTCTCAAACAGATTGAGGTCATGTAACAGTTAAAACTCTGTATTTCCAAATTAGTATAGGCATTAGCAATGGCAATACAGCTATAGTATGAGGTTTTAAGCTAAGTTTTTACCCTTTGTATTACAGAAGAAAAAAAAAGCCTTAGACTAAGTTAATGTTAAAAGACAAATTGAATAACAATAAGGAATTCCGGGGGGAGGGGGGGGGAAGGCTACGAATATTTGGCTTTGAACTACATTTTCTACACAAGCAAAAGGCTTCTAACATGTATAACTCAGTTTATAAGGCCATAATATCACTCTCTTTATAAGCACTTCCCAACATTTTTTGAGATGTTTATGATAAGACAGTTAAAAGCTCTCTTATTTCACATATACCTCACAAAATCCAAGGGGAAAAAAAAAATCTAGCTAACTTAAGTGTGGATTTATTAAACCACTGATTTATTGGATATATATTATACCACTGGCCAGGAAATAAGTTCCCAGAGGGGATACAAACAATAAAAAAGAATGGGAAGCTACATACAAACATGACCAGAAAGATTATCACCCCCATAACACCTGCATTTTACAAGTAATTCAGTAAAAGCTTACTCACTAGATAAAAATACATACCAGAGTATACTAAGAATCTACATCTGATTTTGGTCATTGATTTATGTCTCAGTGGTTACGAGTAAATATTTGAGAGTCGCTTGCTAAAATCCTGTGAAGTACAATTTGTGGAATCATCAGAAAATTAAGATATATGATCTAAGATAAAGATCAATCCAGAAAAACAGTAGTGGTTTTGAAGAAATTAAACTTAAAACTGTTACCAAACAGGAAGATACACTAAAATAAAGTCTCATATTTTCTGATACCCACACTACGCATAGCCTCCAGAGAAAAACATAATGTAATTATCTGGCTTAAACTTGCAGTTATCTGACCAATTCGACCCTCCTGCTGTTCTTAATGGCCCCACTTTTAAACTCAATTCATCCTTCTATCACAAAACTGTTAATAATTCGTGCTCTTCTCCTGAATGTGGGAGTTTTAATTAAAATAATGATAATAGCAGTAATACAGCTGTTCCTACTTTGTCATCCCGGCCATCCAAACAGTCTTCCTTCCCAGTTAATTTCTTCAGTTTCTTTTTTGACATCTTCAAATCCTAAGGAAAAAAAAACAAACCACAAAACCCCACAGTGTTGCCATTATTATTTCTTTCAAGTTTTTATTTCCGGCTGGTATAAAAAATAGATTTTAACTGCATAAAGAAAAATACTCTAATACTCTTCTTTAGTTTTCTCACTACAGAGCCACAGCAGATTTCAGCAAGGTTAATTATTCACATCTCACTAGTAAGAGAACTTCACAGAAAAAAAGGATGGCAACTACTTTACCATCTGCTCCACAGACACATCTTTTGCACCAGCAGAGACAAACATCCTTTAACATTTAGTCATACAACCACCAAGTTTTGAAGCAGTTCCAACCGTGTAACTCTCGCCTTAGGCCCCCCCCCCCCCCCCCGTCGCCTGGGGGGGAGGTATTATCGTGACATCTCGCAATGGCTACACCACCCTCCACGCAACCGAGTCCTGCGGGCCTGCCGGGAACACGAAGGAGTTTAAGAGGGCTGTAAGAAACCTTCACCAGCAGCTCCCAAAGCTCTGGAGGGGAATTTCCAGAGTACAGGTCAACTACCGAGA